GAATTATTATATTTTTAAATTATACTGTTGGTTAAAATGTGACTCTCACAGTTATTTTCGAACTTTTTTCTGAAAAGTTTATGCGGCTCGTTGCAATTCGCATTCATGAAAGATGTTTAATTTGTTTTGTACAGTCGCGACGTTTCTAATTAGTTTTATTTTATACACGTTTTGGAGCGTTTCGTTTAATTTTCTTTTATTTTTAGTCATTAGACATATTTTTAATTTAGGATTAGTCTATTAATTGTCACGACTAGTCTCTAATCAACCACACGCACTAATTGTAAGCTGCAAGTTCTTTTAATCTGTGTAAGATTTGATTCATCCATCGGATTCGATCTCCAGTTTGAGAAATATTAGAAATTAAATTTGCAAGAATAAGTGATTTCCAGAAATAAGGGGAATCATTATATTTTTAAATTATACTATTAGTTAAAACTCGCACAGGTATTTTCGAACGTTTTTTTGAAAAATTTATGCAGCTCGTTGCAATTCGTATTCATAGAAGATGTTTAATCTGTTTTGTACAGTCGCGACGTTTCTAATTAGTTTTATTTTCTATATATATATATATGTATTTTGAATAATTTTGTTTAACTTCTTTTTATTTTTAATCATCAGACATATTTTTATTATAGTATCAGTTTATTAATTTCCATGACTAGCCTCTAATCAACCATACATATCAAGCTTTAAGTTTTCTCAATCTGTGTAAGATTTGATTCATCCATTGGATTCGATCCCGAGTTTGTGAAATATTAGAAATTGAATTTGCAAGAATAACTGATTTCCAGAAATAAGAGGAATTACATACATTTTTAAATTATACTGTTGATTAAAACTTGACTGGCGTAGATATTTTCGAACGTTTTTCTGCAAAGTTTATATAAGGCTCGTTGCAATTCGCATTTATAAAAGATGTTAAATTAGTTTTGTTACATTCATGACGTTTGTAATTAGTTTTATTTTCTATACATTTTGAATCATTTTGTTTAACTTCTTTTTATTTTTAATCATTAGGCATATTTTTATTACAGCATTATTTTATTAATTTTCATGACTAATCTCTAATCAACCACACGCACTAAGCTGCAAATTCTCTCCATCTATATAAGAAGATTTGATTCGTCGATCGGATTCGATCTCGAGTTTGAGAAATATATGCATTCATTCTATGTGACTGCGTGGAATTAGCGAAGAATTTTCACGTTTTTTCGAATGTAACATTTAGCAAATAGAGAGAGGAAAGAGAGAGAGGGGGAGGAAGGGGAGGAAAGAAGAGAAATATGAATAGGCGAGTCGTGCGGGGTGGGAACATAAGTGAGTGCTGCGAGGCCTAAACACACAGGCGAGGAAGGTCCATCAATCTGGCTTGGAGTCAATATTGACTTGGCTGGGCCTCGTTGCAAAGAGGGCATCATCGGCACGCATAAAGAGGATCGGATCGGTCCCTTTTCGCTCGCGGGACACGCGTGACAAATGCCCGGCGCGCAAACACCGGCGCATCTGTGTCCACAGGATAACCGATTCTCTTCCGAATGGCCTATAAATCCTGGAAGTGCAGTCGCTCTGCGGAGGTCCGTCGTACGTTTCCAATTCGACGTACCTCCGCTATCCGCCTTCTTTTTACAAGCGCTTTTCTATCTGACACCCGGAACATCGTCGTAACCGCTCGTCGTCAATCTGGGCTTCTATTCGTTTATCGGCGCTCGCGTGATAGTATCTCTCGAGTTTTACTTGAATAAATTTTCCCGTCGCCCGCCTTATGTCACAGTTTAATCAAAACGCGAAAAATGGTACGAGCTTCGGATATCACGATGCTTGATTCACAATAATCATATTATGCAAAATATGTTTGTCGTTTAAATTTTTCTCCGAATATCGCTTGAATATTGATATTTTTCAATATGAATTATTCCCATATTTATCGTGTGTCACACGAACAAAAATTCACTTGTATTGGAAAATTTTCAAGTTTTATGTTTAACTACAAATATCTTCTAGAAAATGTCAACTCGTCATTCCCTAGTCTTCTGTATTGCCGAGGGATGTTTTTACAACGAATGTTTTCTTATCATCGCTTTTCGCGATCGAATCGCGTCGTTATTTGTTCCTACGTCGACGCGTAATCGTAAGATGCGTGTACCAGGTGCTGTCGAGTACTCTGGTCTTTATAGTATATCGCTCGACGGGTACCCCTTCTCCATTTACGACCGCTTTAATCCGAGGACATCCAGTTTTCCCTTTTTCCCAGGCTGGAGATGACGATCCATCGATCATCGACCTCGCAGCGCAATATCGGTTTTTCGCGAGCGGCTCGTCAGGTATATCCGAGTGTACCTGAACGACACAACGTCCATTGGTCGACTCGTTGAGATAACTTTTCGCACAAACTCCTCGAAGGTGTCACCCGACACTAAGTGCCGGTGCGCCAACGATGTTCAGATATCCATGTACGTTCGCCGACGATGAATTCCCGCCTCTCGGCAGGTAGCTCGCAACGACTCCTCGCCGGTTTTATCGCCAACCGGTTTTTTTATAGTATACGTATCGAGTAACGGATGTTTGCGCGAAGGTTTACACCGATTCGAGCGGTAAGTAACGTATAATTACACTTAGAGAGAGCGACCCTTTCGCTCATATTAACGCCCGAATATTATATTAACGAGATCCGACGAAATCGAGTCGATTATTTTCCAGTCGACGCTTGATATCACTCTGCCTTTCCCCTAAAATATCCATAAATATTAATCCGAACGCGATACGCGAATGATACAATTTTAGTTTTAACGAATGGCTGGCGTGCGGGGAATGATAAGAACCGCCCTGAACGGCACGCGAAACTTTCGTATAAAACGTAAAAAAATATTTCGTATAGATACGCGAGAGTGAACCTTGGCTCCTTGCTTATTTCCACGATCTTGATGTCTGTGTTTAATCGTAAGAATGATTGATCAATGCGTGATCGTAACGAATGTAATTCACTTCATAGTTTCGGTAAATGGGAAGAACGAAAAATCAATACCGTTATCAAATTATTAATTCGCGATGCGTTCTTTCGCCAGGAGATATATCCACGAGATGCGAAATCGCGCCACGTAATACTCTTTCGATCGCTATACTTTAAAGGAGACAGCGACAACCAGTGGTGCCTAAATGCAAAACTCTCATGTATATTTTTTCTCGTATCTTTTAATTAATTTTTGATAACATTTCTTTGATAAATTAGACAATATTTGGTAAATGTTTCACATATAATATCAATTATATAGTTTTAATAATAAAATTGTTACGGAATAATAATCGTCAAGTGTCGGAAATTAAAAATAGTAGAAAAACTGAGATTGGTTTTACTCCAATAATGATTTCTCTTTAAAACATGCGATATTTCTATATTCTATCACTTTACAAATCTGATAAAAAAAATTACAAGGTTTTGTCTGCGAAGAAAGAAAGCAACGCCATGAAGCACGACTGCGCGACACCTCGCAGAGGTGATATAGTTGCGCCGCTTGGGCTTGCACGGTTGGCAAGCGGTGCTTCGATGCGATCGCATCCAGTAACTCCCGGCTCCGCCGCGCCTGGCTTCCTCTCTCGGATACTAGGACTGAATTATGACCCGTGGTCGCGGACACTCGCCAACACGCTTCGTCGTTTAACCCTTTGCCCGATCCGGAGTCCCGGAGCGCATTCTTGCCATTGCCGGCTTTTCCCTCGAACTCCCCGGAATCTTACGATTTCTGGGGAGACAGAGAGAAAGAAAGAGAGAGAGAGAGAGAGGGAGAATGGTCGATGTATGGTTATGCGAAGGGACCGGTTCTTTCGCCTTTAAGCGAATGTCGATCGTATTTTTTGTTAAATCGAAGGTTTCTTTTTTTTCGCAAAATTACGCTTTCATCGACAATATTTTTTCGTCATTTAAACAAACTCGCCGACGCGAGACTGGATATTATCATTTTAAGACACTCTCTCTCTCCTCTTTATTGGCTAGAAATTCTATAATGGAGCTACTTTATATTAGCTTTATCGCCGATCGAAATGCCTGGTCGTGCCTGCGGATCGAAACGTGGCGGAGATACGTTATTTACCGTAGACACGCACACACGCGTTTGACCATCGTGCGACAGTTGGCCCTCGAAACATCGACGAGACGCATCGAGGACACGCATTAACGCGACTCCGTCTCTCTCTTTCTCTCCCGACGCCATAATGCGCATCGCGCATGGGTTTTTCGCCCCGACACAATGCATACGGGGGTTTCGACAATATGTTTGGGGCCGCCGAAACGAGGCAACGGATGGATGGATGGATGGATGGATGGATGGTTGGAACAATCGCGGGGAGCGGAGCGTCTCATCCGGGGTAGGGATATTTCACGGAGGGTTTGTTTAGGTTCCCGGGCGCGAAAGGCACTCAACCCGCTAATCTATTTAGCCGTAGTGTTTGATATGGAATTAATGAGGCCCGCCGGCATTATGCCGCTCGGGGCCCGTAGATTTTCGATTTAGCTGTGGAAATAAAAGGGTGAAGGGGGAGGGAGGGCCTGATGGTTGCGCGATCGCGTTCACCTTTTCAAAGTGCATAACGGGAATGGTTTTTGGCTGTCTTATGACATGCCAGCTGCGTCCTAACACTTTGTCGATATTTTGATACATCGAAATGCCAATGTATCTAACGAGATGCATATAATTTCGCAGGAGTTTAGTCTTAAAAAAATATTACTATATCTAATTTTAATTAGAAAGTTTATTATTATAATATTTAATATTTAATTCTAATTTTAATTAAAAGAAAGAATATTCAGAAAAGTTTGATTAAATTGTCAATTTATTTATTTAAGATAAAATTTGTATTTTAATGTAATAAGATGTGATTAATTTAATGTGAGATAAAAGTTTGTGAAAAAGCTTTGACATAGTTCAATTCTATTAAATATAGCTAGAAGAAAACAAAATCTACATTGCATATATACTGATCAAAATTCTCTGTTTGTTTTACAGTGCCCTGTGACAGTGAGCTCGTCGTTGGCGTCGTCCTCGGCCTCGCCGCCGACGGTCGCGATCTTAAACGCGGGCGGAACGTCTCTGGTGAGCAGCGTAGCCGCCGGTACGACGACGAATCATCCCCTGGACGTAGCCGCTCTGTCGCAAGCGAGGATGGCGGTGACGAGCGCGATCGTGAGACCGTCCGGCAGTCCCACCGCCTCGGTCAGCCCTTCTCAAGGTCACCCGCCGCCGTCGGCCGGCGGCCCTGCCGCGGCCAGATGCTGCGACACCGGCCGGCCCATCTTCACGGATCCGTTGACGGGCCAGACCGTCTGCTCGTGCCAGTACGAGCTGCTAGGCGGCTATCAGCGTCTAGGTGGTCTACCCACGGCCGCGCTCTCCATGTACAGCGCGCCGTACGCGGCCGCAGCCGCGGCCGCGGCCTCCGAGGGCATGGCCGCGTACTTTCCCAGCCTGGGTGCCGAACAGGCGCCCTTTTACACGCCTACGGTGAGTTGATTCGTTTTATCGAATTTTTTACGGTTAAAAAAAAAGTCGAAACGAGAGCCACGAGACTACGCGAAATCATTCACTCTACGAGATCCGGCTATTTTATTTCTTTCTATGATTATAAGCATAGAGGATGTTGTTCTAATATTTCATTTCCGCTTAAATAATCTCGAAATCGTCTATGATGAAGATAAAATAAAGTATATCCAGATGAAAGTATGATAGATGAAAAATAAAGAGCTTATTAAGAATTTTTTCTACATTAAGATATATATAATTAAAATTCTATAAAAATACGTTTACACTGATGTAAATTAAACTCATTAAATATTATTTTAAATAATTTAAAGAAGATAATAATCTAAGATAAAAATGAAAATATTTTAATAATCGAAATAAAGAGAAGATGAAGCAATTTTATCCAGATATCCAGATACCTTTTTCCAGATGAGGAAAAATATTTTTCATGTTCACATGTAATTTTTTATATGTCCAAGATGTATGTCTTTTTTATAATTCAATTGCGATAAGTGATAAAGCGTTCGATTCGACCGTAACAATATTTTGTTGCATCGGGGTGCAACTTGGTCTCCAGAATTCCTTGGCGGTGTAGAGAGCGGTATGTCGACAAGCCTGAGACAGATAATATCGCTGCACGACTAAAGTAATTCGTGAAGCTAAGAGTATCGTGATTTTTACGATATCATCGATGATAATGTACCCGGAAACTTTCTGAATTCTATATCCTTGTGTGTGAGCTAATTCTACATGTATGCGCAGCATTAATAAAACAGCTAAAAACGAGATTAGCAAATATCTCTCATAATGTAACGTATTTATGATGTAGCTCTCTCTCGTCTTGTTCGTTCGCCATATCATATGTTTAAATATTTGCGAACAGAAATTCCAGTATAACGATGCTAGCAAATAGTCGAGATAATTGTATAATTGGGAAAATTTTCCATTATCCAACTTAATTTCTCGTAGATAGTAATGCAGCAAATGAATTTCACTTGTTCGCATTCACTTGTATAGTGGATAGCAAAGTGTCGGATAAAATGCTCAACAGCATATTTAGAAGTTTTAAAGTGTAATGATAGATAAATATATGACACGGTGCATATTTCGAATATTTGTCCACGTGTAAGAAGAAGAGAATAATTTCTGCTTTAAACGCTTTCACATTCATAATTAAAATAATATCAAGTAAGTATCGCGAGAAACGGTTTATTGGTTTCTGTGTAATTATTATATTAATATTTTTACGCCATATTCCTTATGTAAATGTCACGTTCTTGTACACGCTGTCTATATAAGTTTCTTTATATCCGGATAAAAGAGGAGTTGCAACATGAGGTTTTCGGGATTCTACTCGCATTCGACGTAAAGTGCAAGAGGTTAATGTCTGAACGAAGTCGAATCCGTTGGAACGTCGGGATGCGAGGCTTCTATCTTCGCTTCCGCGTTCCTACATGCTACCGTCGAAACGGTTCGATGCGGTTCTCCAATATCGATAAACGCCGAGTCGGCAATAGTAGCGGCATTATATTTGCCCGTAAAATTTTTATCGCGCGGATTAAATCCCGCATTGCGAACTTCTCTATATTTCTGTATCACCGAGCGCGCGGATTAAATCTCGAACCTTTATATTCACGATTCTCGGTTCGAACGCTCGCGCCAAGTGCTCGTGTTTATTTAGGAGATGAACCGATTTGGATTTTTTTTTTTGCAAACTCACGTCGATTTTTCCTTTTACTTCATTGCTTCTCTATTGTTGATTCGCGACATCGATACAGAATCCAGAAGAAGCGCGTGTCCCTACCTTTGTCGCTGAAGAAAATAGCAAATTTATAGATTCGTCCTGTCGTGTGCTGTGAAGCCGAGATCATCAGAGTGCTGTTATCGTCACTCTTTATGATCGAGCTTAAGGGGCGAGTGTATAGCGTAGTGTCTGCTCGTAACGAGGCAGCAGATTGTACAGCTTGTGAGTTTCGTATAAGCAACGTTTATGATAATCCTCCGCATAAAGCCATCAAGTATCATTTTTTACCAAAAACGATTGCTTCCGCTCGTAGTAATTATTTCGATCGTGATTCTGCAAATTTGCATCGCGTTTAACTCATGTCAGGATCAATTTTTCGAAAAGCATCAAACGATCCGAGTATCTCTCGTTTGTTCATTTTATCTTTCCTTCTCATATTAATAAAGATTAGTATAAATATAATTAAAATATTATTATATATATGATACGTGCGCGTAATTAGAGAAAGAGAGAGAGGAACAGTGGTTTTTTATAAGCCTATTATATCACCGCTAAATGAAATATGGCAGAAATTTAATAGCAACCATCTCCTGTCGTATAATCGAGGTCGCGAGGTTAGAGAAGCAAACAAGAGAGCCCACACACATCGATCCTAATTATTACTATCAGCGCTGTGCCAGCTATTCTTTCATCATCGCGGTCGATTCAATCGGGAGATCGGACCGAACTGCGCGGCGATATGGACTAATTGCGACGCTCGCGTTCCTAAAAATGGATCTCTCTCGGGCAATTAACCGCATTCTGCGCGATTTCATTTCAAAAATCGCGATAATTAATGATCGGCGAATGTGCGCACGTGCAAACTCTCCGATGAATAAATCCGCATGACGCATGCAAATCCGCGATTGCTCTGTAAAAATTGTCACGATGTCACTTGCGTGTGCGCATGTGTATTGATACAGAATATATTATTCTGAGAAAACTGGATGGTATAAAAAAAATGCACTTCTCGATATCACGTGTCTACGATGATGTTTTTATGTAATAATTTAGAGTGTATAAAAACGCTGTAAGATATAGCAATCCGTCTTATTTTCTGCGATCGAGCTATGCTTAACCGATTCTTTCGATATTTATATTCGATATATTTATTGTAATTATAAAAACGAGCATTTGTGTATGTATGTGTGAATGCGATTTGCGCTTTCATCGATACCGCTAATTGATCGCTAATTACTGTTTTTTATTTAACTTCTTTTCTTGTACCTTTTCCGTTATATCGAACGATCGCAGAATTGAATATTCAAATGTTTATTCGTTTATGTTGTTACAGCCTGCTGGTCTGGATCTCAAAGAAAATCTCGGCGCCGGAGCTGCGGCAGCGTGGCCTTATCCTTCGGTGTATCACCCTTATGACGCTGCTTTCGCGAGTTATCCCTTCAACGGGTAAGTCTTGTGTAACCATATTTTTTCCGAATTAGTGTATTAATGTATCATCGTCCAATTACGAGTGTTGAGGGTTTCGCGCGTGATAAGGAATAGCTATTTAATTAAGCGATTGCATCTCAATACAAATAAGCCAAGAATTTTTTATTTTCGTTGAAAACTGTTTTACTATATAATTGCTGAAAGAGACCGACATTATCTATATCCATCGACTTATAGATAGCACCCGCAATATCAAGTCTGTCAGGAAAGTCTATTCACATGAAGGGTGAAAGTAGCTCGAGCGAAATAACCATCACGCGCGTCGCATTGTGAGGGTGGCTTTTATAAATTGATAAGAATTCCCCGAAAGATCCTCGCGAGAGATATGAAGAAAGTGCCATACTATAATTTTATTTATCTTCTCGACGTTGAAATCTTATAGAGAGTTGACGCGACGCGATTACTGTTTTAATGTCGCCGAAACAATGTTTTACAAATGAAGTTTACTCGCGAAGTGTTTCTCGCAAGAGCTTACGAGATCGTTCGAACGAGAACAAATCTTAATTAACCCCGTAATCTCCCCGTAATACTGCGTGTGTGTATATATATATTTTCAATGACGCATTTTAATGCGTTTTTCCATCGCGAGCGAGAGACATGATCAGGTTTATATACATGCCCTCTTCCTTCTTCTCCTCCTCTCTACGATATAAACTCTCCGTGCACGGCGAGATAAGACGGCGAGAGAAACACATAAACATTCCAATAAATTAGCGCTCAACTGACCCGAGACTGTCGCCACGGCACTTTTTCCTCGCGTGCGCTCGGGATCGGTCGCAGCATGTGTCACGGTGACGCGACCGGTGAAAGGTCTCGTTTGATAAATACGATTGGACACTGCGACGACGAAGATTAAAATTCGGAGAAGCCGAACGACACGCTGAGCGCGAAATCGATTGATCGCTCAGAGCCCGGATATCGATTAATTAGCCTGCGTTTCCGAGATCCTTGTCTGCTTTTACGCTGATTTTCGAGAAGTTCTGATAATTTTTCACGTATCTCATCTCCATTCGACGAGTCCCGATAACACGTATACGACTGTTGACCGTATCTCGATGACTATAAAAATTATTAATAAATATCTTTTGTTATTAATTATTTAAAAATTGTTAGTATATTATTAGTAAATAATTTATTAAACTCGCCCTCGAACGTGCTCTTAAAATGTTTCTACGAGTATTTATATAGGGAATATATCGCAGTTGATTCACTTTGATGCCATGACAAATGCAGACGACTGATGAAGCGCTATTTCGAGGGAAAGAACGGTCGATAGGACCCGAGAAATTTGACGTCGCGCTCGGAGCGTTTATCTCTCACGTTAATATCTACGGACGAAATGCGACGTTTGTCATAACAAGCTTGATAAAGATTCAATTCGCAGCGCACTTTACGTCAATGCCATCGATCGAGGCTCTTGATAAATTTTTGCCGACATGTGATTGCGTTTGCGCTCCCTTCCCCGCCCCCTCCCCCGGAAAAATAAATATACATAACAAGCGAACACACATACGTATCGGCGAGGGGCAGGGGAGGGACCGTGTTCCTCTAAAGGCGAAGCGACGAGCCGGGTTGACAACAGCGGTCTACGCGTGGAATCTATATTGCCGTGCGTGACGCACTTCCGGCGATGACTGCTTTGTATGCAAGGAAGCGATCGGGTAATACAGCTTGCTTAGCATCCATTCGGTCTAGTCGCGACTGGGAGATCGAGGTTCTCTCTTTGCGGGGAACCTACCTACCGCGCCGGGTTCGCGGACTCACGTCGCACCGGAAACGCGTACACGCGCGAGTTCTACGCGCTATTAGTCGTGAAGTAATCGCGCGACTGCACGTGCGCCAGTCGAATCGAGGGCGATCGGAAG